GCAAAAAATGGACCTATGTATGGTTGTTTAAGTGGTATTAATGCACTTTTAACAATTATTCAGGATGACAAGTTAATATAGAAATTTAATAGATTAGATATAAAAATAAAAATTCGTTTTTTTCTTATTAAATTAGATATGAAAATGATGAAGAAATAAATCAATGGAGAATTTTATTTAATCATTTAATTGAATTATGTTTAGAAATAGCTTCATTAACTGGTCCAATAGTTAGTTCATCATCACCTGAAGGAATGATGCCCATGGAACTTACTGACAGTTTGTTATTTTCTTTTTCAATTAAATTTTGATTAGTTTTTTTCTTTTATATAGTTAGTAGAAAAGATGACGATGAAAATTCAAATGGACAAATAACATCTCAAATGTTATTAGTATGTTGTTGGAGAACAATTAAAGAAATTTCATTATTATTCAGTCGTTTGGGACAAATTGGAATAAAATATATTGAAAACGAAAGTCAATATAGATTTATTTCTTTAAAACAAGTTTATTATTTAATTATCAAAAATAAAAATAATATATTCATTTGGATTTTTTTCTCATTTAGCTTCATATTATATGTAATTATTATATGGAACAATTATTAAAATCTCGTCATTGTGGTGCATATGAATTAGCTTATACTGGTTTTCTTATTATTTGTCAACAACTTTGGAGGTTAAAGAAATTTAATTATTTAATATAATTATCATTTATTTTAATTTTATATTTTAGTTCAAACTGTGATCAATTATGTAATTTACCAATAAAATGGATTGAAAATGGAATAAAAATGGTTGAAGAAAATAGTCTTGATAAAAATAAATTATGTTTAACAAGACGATCAGGTGGTTTACCTTTTTATCTTCAATCAATATTAACTGATGAACCAATTAAACAACGTGGACAACAAAGAACATATGTTGCCAAATTAATGGATACTTTATTAAATATTATTCTAAATGATCCAGATACAATACAAATCGATGGACAAATTTTAGAAAATAGTCGAAAAGTATTTATATTATACATACACTCAACAAATTTCTTTTTTTCTTATCATAGTTTATTATTGTAAAAGATAAATTATCTCTCAACATTAGTAAATATTACAGATATTGACAATAGTAGACAGACTGATTAAATACAATAGATAGTATATCTCCATCAATGAATATAAATCTGTAAAATGACATAGTCTCAACTTTCAATCTTTCGTTTTTTAATTCAGTTTTCTACATAGTAGAATTCTGATGCATTTTTACACATACAAATACATTTACTTATTTGTTAAAATAAATATTAGTCGGAAGAAAGCCACTAATAAGTAAAACATACTTGAAGTCGATTCTTTTGGTTTTGTATTTAACTATAATATTGATTTTTTCTTCCGACGAAGATATTTCAGTATGGGAAATAAATCTTATGATGTTTTATTATTCTTTTGAGAGCTTACTACTGTCTCTATCACTAATTAAAATACATATAGCAATTTTAGTTTTTCTCGTTTAGAAATTAATCTTTTTTGTAGTCTCAACATGAGTTTTTCGTGAAATTTTGACGATTGCAACCATTGATTGAGAAGAGATCTTGGCGTCTAAGGATTTCTGCACAAATGGAATATTCTATCAATGAGATAATATAGATATACGAACATTTATTTCTTAATTAGAAAAAACGATATTAACACATCAAAATAGCACATAACTCGAGAATTATTAAAAGAAATCTTTTTCGAGTACTACAGAAAAAAAAACTCAACTTTTTCATTTTTAAATCCGTTGTATTAAAGCTGATCAATTTCACATGTGTGGTTGACATCAAGATTTCTTAAACTCTATTTCTAGTCAAAATAGAAGACAAAACTATTGAGTTTTTTATAATCTCTTTCCGCTAACGAGGCTTCTTTCAAGTATTCGATATAATATTAGTTGTAATCATTTGGTGTAAGAAGTGAAAAGTTATATTAAACTTAATCAATAAGTAGAAAAGTAGAATGAAAGACAAATTTGAAGCGATAAAAATTTTCGAAAGATTATTATAAAATTAAGAATGAAAACAAAAAAGAATATTGTTCGTACTGTTTAAACTAATTAAATAAATAAATAAATAAAACTAATTGATAGATTCATGCATACAATACGGTTCGTTCATTTTATCGAAATCAACGTTTTTCAAATGATGTCTATCCATATATTGAACGTGGTCTTCATTTATCAATAACTGGTTTTTCATCATCAATATGGATGATAAGAAATAGTGCAACATTATTATTATCAACAATTGTTCAAAGAATATTTGGTCCATCGAAAACAAAAGATGGAGAAGATAATTTATCAAAAAAAAATAGCATGACTTCAAGAGAATTTTTTAATAAATATCCATCATTATTTCATTTATTTTATCAACAATTACAACAAACAACAAGGTTTTTCTTTTTTCAATTTAAATAAATAAAATAAAATAAAATAATTAAATTTCATTATTTATTTTTTTTGTTAAGTACTCGTTCATCAATAGAATCATTATCATCATCATGTTTATTTGCTATACTTTTAATTCTTCGTCGTCTTTATCCAAGTCCACTAGATGGAATTGATTGTTCATTAACATTAGATAAACTTTTACCATTTGTTATTAAGTAACAAAATTCTTTTTTTTTTTTTTTTTTTCTAAATTAATTTTAATCCTAAATTGATATAGATGTGAAGAATCTCCATTATTACGTATACGAGAACATTCCTCAAAAGCTCTTTTAGCTTTAATTAATCATGATCAATATTCAACTATAATTCATAAACAAATAAATCAATTAATCAAACAATCAAAATATAATATTAGACAAAATACTCTTCATGGTCGTTTATTACAAGTATTTAATTGTTTTAAATATTCAATAAATTAAATATATTTATTTTCGTTTATTTATTAAGATAAATGGAATATTTCAATCAATGAAAAAGAATAATCTTCAATTTAATTTTGATTCATCATTTAGTTTAGAAGAAATGCTTTCATCTCTTCAATGGATTATTTATCAGTTAGGATTTTATTTTATTTATTTCGATTATTATTGAAAACAGTTTACAAATCGCAAAGTTCTTTACCCTATAGAAACAATAAATAAATAAATAAATAAATAAATAAATAAATAATATTAGAATATATCTAAAAAAAGTTCGATGGAGAAATTTATAGGTTATTATTATCAAATTTTTATTTCGGATTAATTTTAAAAAGTCTATTTTTGAAAAATAAAATCATTCATTTAATTAACTGTATGAAAAATTAGACGATTTAGAGAGAGATTTACAAAAAAAAAAAAAAGATCAGTCAGTCTTGCGATTGAATGAAGAATGTTTTTTATCAATAAAAATATGTTTGAAAAGAAAAGTAAGTCATCTGAAATAAACATAAATTATGAATTCTGAGTGAATCAAGGTAAACATCTTTATTTTCTTAATGATCGAAAATATAGAAATACATCAGATAATATAAATAGAAACGTAAACATTGACTTTAGTTGAGAAAGGAAACTTGAAGAGCATAGAAAAATAGAAATCTTCTAATATTTTATAATTCCTGTTATGTTATAGACAAATTTAAAAATAATATTCTCTATTATTAATTATAGAAATAATTGTTCATTAACACAATATTGTTATTTGGAATTCTTATTTAATATTCATTGTCAAATTCCTTCGAATGAATTGACAAATAGTATAAATGAATATATAAATAATATTATCAAGTCAGCTGATAAAATTACAATTGGAAGTGATGATTTAACTCGTATATTAACACGTTTAATAATTCGTCTTGAAAATATTCAAGTTCAATTAAAACTTTTTCTTTTTGTTGAACAAACTCGAACAGAATTGTGTTTTATTGAAACACTTTTATTAGAAAATAATTTATCTTTATTTGAAAATAATATTCGACAATGGATTACAGATTTATTATTAACTATGGATTTATTTGATGAACAACTTTATACAAAAGTAATAAAAATATTTAGTTTTTATTTAAATCCTAAAAGAAAAAAGATTATTTCAGGCATGTGAATTACTTTTTAAAATGTTTGATAAAACACATAATTATGAACGTTTAACTAGACGAATCGTTGAATTAATTGAAAAATTAAGACGGTAATTAAATATTTATTAAATAAAAACAAAAAGAAGTTTTTCTCGTTTAGTCCAATGAGTATAGCAGCAAGTTTTTACTTAATTAGTGAATTATTACCTCTATGTTTCTCATCAAAAACTAATCAAGAAGATTTGATTAAACTTGTTTATGATAGAATGAATGATTTTGTTAATGATGAAAGTAGTGATGAATGTGCTTGTGCTATTCTTAATCTTGTTAGTAAAGCTCGATCATGTTTATATGATTCATCTAATGGTAATTATTATTGCTTCATTTTTCTTTTAATTTATTTTATTTTATTTTTCTTCAGTGGAAAGAAAATGTCAATATTGGGGATTAATTTTGAAATTATCTGCATTTTCGTCTGATACCGTTCGAGAAACATTTATTAAAACGATTCCATTGATTATTAATGATAAACGTCTTTCAGGTTATTTTCAGTTTTTTTTCTTTTGTTTTAAATCATTTTTTGTTTTAGGTGTATTTGGTGCTAATTGTTATTTGACACAAAATGTGTTATTTGAATATTTTACAAATGATGCATTGTTATATTCATCAAGTGATTTATTCATTAATCTTATTGTGAATTTATTTAATGATTTACTAAGTGATATTCATTCGAGTGATGAAGATGAAGAAGAAATTTGTTTGGATCGTCGTTTGTGGCCATCATCTGAAGGTTATAATAATGTATTTGTATCTGAAAATGAAAGTTGTGATCATTATTGTGCTTGTTATGGACAACATCTTCTTTCTTCATTGGAAAAAATTCTAGAAAAATCTTCTATAATAAATATTAATAAAACAATTGATATCATACATGATCAATGTAATCGATTAATTGATATTCAAACAGAAGCGTTTAATCGATTTTTTATAAGACAAAGATCAACAGTTCGATTAAACTTAATGATAGAATTCCTACGTGTTACGAATTCATTACAGGATATTAAATTAGAACAATTACCTCAACAATGGACATCCGATCATTAACAACAAGATCATTCTGTTGATTTAGTTTTAATTAAATTTTTTCTTGTTTTGGTTTTTTCAAAAAAAGACAAAAATAAAATAAAAGAACGAATTATGCGCAACAAAAGAATATTGATAATACTTTTCATTTTATAGAAATTCAGTTGACATGGCACTTATAGATTCACAATACTAATTCTACGGTCGCAGTTCTGGCAAATTCTTTTCTCATAGTTCGTGCCAAGTGACTAGAAAATTCTTACATGAGCTCTCGTTTGACATTTGAAATATCATGAAATCTTTGTTGTTTGCATTACTTCAATCGATAAATGAGATGTTTTTCTTTCGTATCTATGACTTATGAGAATCAATATTCTCCTGTAAAAAGCAGAAACCTAATTCTATGTTTGATTCAGCATATTTCCAATAAACACTCACTGAAAATGATCAATACATTATTCAAGAGATAAAGAGCTGAATTCACTCTGTCAGAATCAAGATGAAATCCGTATAATCCACGAAGTTACTGAAGTGAGCACAGTCATATAGACTCCTTCCTCGGTGTGATGCAAAACTACGCGAAATGGTGCCAAGTTACCTAGGATTACTAGAAGTTTCGCTAATACGTTATCTTTATCACTATATAGGTATAAATTGAAATTCTAAATTCCATTGCAATAGTAATGTTAATAACATTATTCGGTCAATTTAATAATCTACTAGAACAAATAACGCATGAGGAACGGATTCGAAATATTCTTCATGATAAAACTTCATCCACATCTTCATTTGATCAACTTATTCGTTATCCTTATCGTCTACCTGATCATGTTATTTTAACATAAAAAATAATTCAATTCATTAAAATTCTTTTTCAGAATAAACAATTTAAAGATGAATTATTTTCTAATCAAAAACTGTATTATTGGTTAAATCGTTCAGTGGAATCATTTCATAATTGGTCAATGTTTTCAATGGAATTTTTAGATTTATTGATTTCGTAAAACAATAAGTTCATCAATACCAACAAAACTCAATGAAATTACTCAATTTTTACTTCGTTTTTCTAATAAAACATTACGAATTTTATTTATCAATATACTTTAATTCGATATATATTTAAACGACGAGCATTACCACGACATGTTTTATTATCAACATTTTGTTCAATATTACCTTTATATTCACTGGATTGTTTATTAATTCTTGCATATAACATTATAAAACGTATAAGAAAAACTTCATTAGAAAATGAAATTATTGAAAAATATTTTAAAATTCATTTAATATCAATGTTAATTAATATTTATCGTGATATAAGAGAAAAAGAAACGAAAAAATCTTATACAGTTATTTCACTATCATCTGTATTTATTCTTATTTATAGATATTGTTTAAATACTCTTAATAATACTTTCGTTGAAGTACATGTAAACGTTTCCTTTTAGTTCAATCATCCATATAAGAAAGAGTATCTTTTTCATGTATTTTATTGTAACAAGAAATAATACAATTATAATTTTTTCAAGAACAATCAAGAAAACACATAAACTATATTTTACATACAGTAGAATTTCGAATATTACTTTTGTAAAAAAAAACATGATTTAAGAACACTACCCATGTGATGAAAACCGACGGTTAACCGCGATTTTACCAGTCCAATTATTGGCTCCTTGACATAGAAAAACCGCGGTTTTACCGGTCCGGTTACCGGCTCCTTGACATAGAAAAACCGCGGTTAACCGGAGAGAACCGCTACTTTTTCCCCGGTTTACCGCTAATACTGCTCCGGTGTTTGTTACATGTGTAACGATAAGATCAAGCTGGTTTTCTTTGATTTCTATTCAACTCTAAAGAGAAAGTAATCCAATTATTTCAATACATTCCTTATTAATAAATACTTACTGTTGTTTTCATAATATTGCCAAGATTGTTAGCAATAAAATCACATGTTGTTGATTTTAATAATTCTGACTTCATATTATAACATAAAATAAGTAATTCACTAAAAAATTCAATCTAATTATTCATTTCTAAGATTTAAAACTCAATTCTTACGAAGCATGATCAGCATGAACAACATCTTTGAGATAATACTCTACAAAAGTTCTTAAATCTAGTATATCATAATTTATTGTACTTGTTAATAAATCAATTATATGTAACGATAAGAAACAGCACCTGGTAAAGAAAGTTTCTTAATTGCATCTGTATATAAATATTCAAGAAAATATGGAAATGTTTTATGATCAATATCATTTATATCAATAATAATAAGAGATGCATCTTTTGATCCTTTGACAGTTGGAGAATCAGTTTCCATATCATCATTTGTTGGATTTGCTGTTAACCGTTTAGCATAGCGACTAAAATTAAATAAAAAACGATTTTAATTTCATATGTTAATTGTAGAACGGTTGAGTATTTCAAGAGTGATTTACATGCTATAGGAATGGATAAAATATGGTTATCAAAAATGCTGAATTTGATTGTAGTAAATCATCAGTCTCATATTCAATAGCATTACTGAACGAATGTTCTTTTCAGAAGTGACTGGAACAATAAATTAGATTCGAAGTGCGAAAGTCTCGAACAAGTGAAGTTCCTTTAAGAATTGTTCATTAGAATTAGAAATCAATCGAATCTTCTAAGTTCTTATTGTACTGAAAAATTAACGTTCAAAAATAGATTGAATAACATATTCTAATTTTCCACATAGCTTGATTGAACTTGTGATGTAATAAAACTATTCATCTTATCACCCTATATATCGAATACACTCTCATCACCACTCATGTATTCTAAATCCGACGAACTTAACTACGACAGACAGGGAAAATTCCATTGAAAATATGAAGATTATGGTTTAGAGTCGCGATCCAATTGACTATAGTAATCATTCCGAGTTATAAATTTTTCACTAGAACGGGTGTTCATTAATTTGACATTCAAATGCAATAGACTCTATTCGATAGAGACACTCAGATCTAGATTTGATGAATTTTCAATTGTCATTTTAACACTACCTAATATCATTCTTACTTCGACTACAAACGAAGATTCAACTACTTGAAAACAATATTTCACAACTTACATTGACTTTGCCAGTGACATAATTACAACTGGTATTGTATCTTCTTGTTTACTCATTTTAGCAAGTATACTTGATTGAAGATCCAGTATCAATTTATGAACTGAAAATAATTCATTTCCATATCTTACAAATACATATCAATCATATTTTTCTCCAAATAAGCCTTAGAAAACAATGTTCATCCATATGTTGCTGGATCATCATTAATTGATATTGCTGTTGTAGATTTACTTTGTGGAAGCGAAACTAATAATGGTGAAATGAATTTATTTTCATCAATTGAATTCCTTTCAAGAATTTTACCTTGGTAAAAAAGACGAAGATCATTATCAGGAATGAATTAGTGGAGTTCGTAATAACGTTGCATGTTTAATAAATTGACCAATATACCAAAGTTCATCTATTCTTAAACAGCAGTGGACAATATGATCCATCGATGGGGAAATCGTTCCCATTTAAGCAGAAATGCTTCACCCCACATAAAGTCATATCTGCTAAGGAGAAATCGAAAAAAAAATATATCTATGACTTGATATTCTTAAAGTTATATTCCATTCAAGGAGAAATCGCTCTACATAAAGAGAAATGCTTTAACAAGGAGAATTCCAATCTCACCGCAGAAAATCAATTTCACCTTTATGTCGAAGATAATTTTATTCACTTAGATTATACAATACATTTATCATTTCTCCTTCTACATTATACATTTCTGCTAGACGGAAGAGATATCGTTCAAACATTTCTCTTTGCAATTTTTCAATTTGTGCTGGATAAAATCGATTTCTCCTATAACTTTCCCTTAATGTAAAAAATAAACTTACGAGGGAACCTCCTCAGGTGTTACCCTCAGATTTTAATGAATTTTTGCCTATAGATACTCTACAGTGCCTCAGTAAAAACCCTAAATGGATTTGGGTTCCTTTTGTTTCTTTCAAAAGTTATGCCCGTTTTACTGGATTTTCTACGTATAGCAGTGGGACACCAGAAAAATCAAATAAACGAATTTCGACTTGAAATTTTACTCATAGACAGATCTAATGATCCTTAGAATACCCTGAAACTTTTAGCCAAAAAGAATGTTTCTTTCTCGAGATATTGAATTTTCAAATAACTCAATTTTTGTGACGTGTCTATGAGGCGCAACTATTTTTTGAAAATTCAGTATCTCGAGAAAGAAACATTCTTTTTCGTTAAAAGTTTCAGGATGTTCTAAGGATCATTAGATCTGTCTATGAGTAAAATTTCAAGTCGAAATTCGTTTATTTGATTTTTCTGGTGTTCCACTGCTATACGTAGAAAATCCAGTAAAACGGGCATAACTTTTGAAAG